AAACCCGGCCACCCAAACAGCACGGGGATACAAAAAAAAAAAAAAAAAAACGCCGCCCGGTGACCGCCATCCAAATAAATCTCCCCCTCTCATCATCATCACCATCATCAGACAGACAGACAGACAGAGAGACAATGAGAGCAAGAGAGAGTGAGAAAAAGAGGCCCACACGGTGGAAAAGAAAGAGGAATGACCCCAGACGCAGGCGCATGTAAATTAAACTCCCTCGTCCCGTCCAGCCGTTTTTTTCTTTTTCTTTTTTATATTTTAATGTTTATTGTTTGGTAGTAGTAGTAGTAGTAGTACCATATCATTAATTATTGTTAATTTCTAACCGCCTCAACACAAGCAGGCCTTCCCTTCCCTTTCCGCCCCTCCGTCACTCTCCACGTTGCATCGATGTGCGCATTTAGCGTCAACAAGTGGCCGGGGGGGCGGGGCGGGAAAAGAGAAGGGGTGCAGCGTACACCACACACAAAGAGGAATTCGTAAAAAAGAAGGACAAAAAAAAAAAAAAAAAAAAAAAAAGAAGAGCATGCAACAAGTAAAACACGCGCATGGAACCCGATCGCACATTCAACACGATTGGCGCAGAAAACCGGGAGATTCGCCAAGCCAAAATGATCAAATCCACGAAAAACCAAAAATGTGCATGCCGCAGTAGGAAAAAGAGAGAGAAAAAAAAAAAAAGAAAAAAAAGAAAAAAAAAAAAAAAAGGAAATATTAGAAGAGGACGGTCCAAAAATTTAGAAAAAAAAAAAAAAGCAGCAACTAAAAACAAAAAAAAAAAAAAGCAGAAAATCAATATATCGCATGATGATGGCGGTGATGGCGGTGTTAGCGGCGGCGGAAGAAGCAACACACATACAGACCTACATTCTAACGTACGTAAATATCATCATCCCACACGCACATTTCATATCGTTGCATCCCTTTAAACCGTCCTTGGTCCATGTACTTTGCAATTTACACACGCATACACATATACATACATACATATATATGCGACTGCCGTCAGCAAAGCGACCAAAGAAGGGAAAAAAAAAAAAAAACCGATTTCCACCGCCACCACACAAAAGACACATGGGCGTACACCGGAATGCATACAACACAAGAGAGTGACCAAAGAAACACAACGAACAAACAACAACAACAAAAAAAAAAAGAAAAAAAAAAAGTAGCAGAAAATATAGTCAAATAAAAACAAACAAACAAACAAAAAAGAAAACAACAGGATCCAAAAAGAAAAAAAAAAAAAAAAAAAAGGAAAAAGGGGGGAAAAAAAAAGAAATTTGCCAAAATAAACAAAAAAAAAAAAACAACACATAAAACAGAAAAAAAAGAAAAAAAAAAAAAAATTGGCCCAACTTCAACAATAACAACAAAAACAACGGAATAGGAAGAAAAAGAAAAAAAAAAAAAGGAAAAGAACATCGTATGTAAACAAATAAATGAATGTACATACCTTGACCCAGCCACTCCATTTCTCCGACGTAGGGCAGAGTAAATATGTATCCAAGACCATTGCATAAAGGTTGGCAAAGGGGAAAAAGAAAGAAAAAAAAAAAAAACCCTTTTCAAAGTCGGGAAGAACATTTGGTATGCCGTGGCGCAGACAAAACACTTGCATTGTGTTGTTGTTGATATTATTATTATTATTTTTCTCTTTCTCTCTCTCTCTCCCACTTTTTTTGTTTGTTTGTTTGTTTTGTTGTTGTTGTTGTTGTTTTTTTTAAATTAATCCTCTCATTGTTGTCGCCATTCTCTCCATCTGGGTTACATGCCCAGGGAACAGATAAGGATCCTCAAACAAAAGGGAACTATAAATCGTAACACTTGAAGATGAAAATAACAAAGAAAAGGAAAAAGAAAAAAAAAAAAAACACACATCAGAGAAATTATACTTCTTTTCCTGCCCGTTATCCCCCTTCCTCCTCCCTCACAATCTCTCTTTCTGACTTCCTGATTGAATTTGGGCCTCGTTTTTCTCTTTTTTTTCTTTTATTTTTTTTTTTTTTTTTTTTCTTCCTTTTCGTTTTGTGCTGCTCCAACCTCCTCAAGGGTTCGTCTCTGTGGCACCGTAAGTGGTCGTCGTTGTCGTCATAGTGTTAGTAGGATCCGTGGTGGTGGAAGGAGGGGGCAAAGAAGGCTGCGCCGTTGGGTGAAACAACTGTTGGTGATACACTTCCGTACCACGCGCTAGCACCCGACGGCAGACTGGGCAGCTGGAAAAGCCAAAATCCTCAACTAGACGCCTCGCCGAACACATCACCTCATAGGCGGAGATATTCCACTTCCATGACTGTCGATTTCGAGCCGCCCCCTCTGCCTGCTCTTCTTGTTCAATGGGAAAGTGAGTCTCTTGTTCCATATGCTCCAGAAGTTCGCCGTGCGTTAAAAAAAGGCGGGAACAGGTTTCCTCTGGACATTGAAATGCTAGCAGAAGACCATCCTCTTGGGCAGGACCACCGGATTCCGGTGAATAACCTTGGATAAGTGACAACATTTCAGGCTCACTCGTGTCCAAGAGAACTTCAAACTCCTCTGGTAAGAAAGATTGGCCTTCAGCGCCACGCGGCCTATTTCCAGGATGGACACCGACCGGATTTAACATGCATTGGCAAATACCATTCGACGTGATGTGATTCTCCATGGCGGCCCATGAGGAAAAAACCTTGATGCAGATAGGACACTGGTAGAGAACTGCATAAGGTCTTACCTGCAAAGGCCACGGTGGAAGTCTTGGCCAGCGCACAAGATACGGGGCGGGGGAAAACCCGGGAACTTCAAACACGTCATCTTCTTTAATCATTAATCGCTCCAGCCTATGTTTAGCCAAATCAGCAAGGGTTCCTCGAATGTTGCACGTAAGACATACTGCCTCGTCGGGAATCTCAGTCACGCCGTGATCCGCACGTAAATGAAGTGCAATCTGCAAGGAGGACATAAAGGTTACGCGACATACACAACGATACTGCGGGTGAGAAAGCACTGGAGGGTGATCTAACCTGTAGTCACCACGTATGTAAAAAATACCAAAAAAACCAGAATGCCCCGTTGCAGCTTCATGACGATGCGGATGTGTGGGTCCGTAGCACCGTAGTTGTTCATCGCACGACACGCGCCTCGCAGAAAAATGCGCGGATGCATTCAGGTGTACTGTAAGCCTTGACCATGTTAAAAAAACATTCAGGCACTCGGGACAGCGTAAGGTGGGTCTCTCACTCGACGACGTTCTTGTTTCTCTTCCCCCGCTGCCACGCCGGCCTCCTTGACGCTGCTGCGCAGTATCTCTGCTCGTTCCTGCTGTCCGTCTCACCATGGGCCTGGGAGTGAAATGTTACCCCTCCCCTTCCCAAAGTATGTATGTATGTATTTATGTATGTATGGATGGATGGATGGATGGATGGATGGATGGATGTATGTCGTGTTTTGCCCTGAAGCGATTGGAACGAGGCGTCGTGTCGGCAACTGTACAAAACAAAACAGAAAAAAAAATAAAATAAAATGCCACAAAGACAAAACAAGCCAAACCAAAAAAAAAAAAAAAAAGGTAACGACTGAGGAGCAGAAGTAAACCCTTTTTGATGATATCCACCACGGAGATGAAAGCTGGAAGAAAGAAGAAAAGGAAAAAAAAAAAAAAAAAAAAAGTGCAGTTCGCAGCAGCATGTCAGTGCGTAGGACAACACACGCAAATATTTATAGAGAGGAAGTGACTTAATTTTGCAAATATTCAGGACAGAAAAAAATGAACTTCCACATTGACGCAAAAGCAAAAAAAAAAAAAAAGGGGGTGAAACAACAACAACAACAAAAAGAGAGTTCGTTTTATTTCCGCCCCGTACCCCCCTGCCCTCAGCTTAACTGTGTTTATTCAAAACACCACAACTCATGTACCCAACTGAGGGTGGATTGAACCTTCTTCTCCTCGTGCACCACCACCATCTCCTAGTCGACGCGTAGAGCTACTGGGGACTTTGAAACCTCATAGAGTTCATGGGGTACGTAGTTCCTAACAATGTATAAGCGCACGGCCTCCCAAACAAGATTCTTCAGTTCTCGTGACATTTTGCACCTTGGGAACTCCCTTCCTACCGCATCTCGCACTGCCGGCATGTTCAAAGTAAGCAGCGGATTTCTTGTCATCCCAAGGTAATTAACGACGCTCTGATACACCTCCATGAAGGTTGGCAACATATCAATAGGGCCAGTGGCTGTAAAATCCACAACGTAACGCCTGTTAACGCAGAGACGAGTGGCGTTGCTAATGTTGCGTCTGGGTTTTCCAGACAAGTCAAGGTTCCCCTTGGAAGAGTCAAATTCCACAACGAGAAAGTCCTCACCTGTAGGCAGCTCCTCCTTGTAGACATGTATGTTCTCCATCTTCCCTGGGTGACGCAAAGCTGGTGGCGAGTCTGTCTTTTTATAGACCTGCACCTTCAAACTAATGCCGATTCCCGAAAGAATGTCCCCAGTAAAGCATAACAATTGACCATCCTTTCCCTCTAGGTTCAGACGTAACCTCACAAGAGGCGCCTTTGATACATCCAAAGTGATGAATTCATCAAGCCTAATCAGTTCAGAGTGCATCCCATGTATATCCATCATCATTCGTGGTGGCGAGACAGATAAACTGTAGTCCAACATTCTCGCAACATTCACGGCAGGGGAGGCATCTTCAGTCGCCTCGGACGCAGCGCGTGGCGATGGCAGTGACGGCCATATCTTGCCCCCAATGGAGTGTAATTTCATTGACACATGAAACCCTGATTTGCCCAGCTGCGAATTCGCCCTAATAGATGCCAGAACAAATGACTGTCCTGGCGCATGCTCTCCGCTCATTTTTGGCCCTTCCGATAAATCAATCACTAAAATAAGTAACTTTTCATCCACAGCCCATTTGGTGTTCAGTCCTGCGTCGGTCAATTCCTTCAGCGCCTCCGCCGTTTCCAGAAACCGTTCCTCCGTAGTCATAGCAAAGGAGAGCACCTTAAGGTCCAACGTCACCGGAAGGTCCTCAATGTGTGCACCGCGCGCCCTCGCAACCCCGTGGCGGTCTCCTTCCGAGGCCAAGTTGACTATCAGCCTCAGGATTCTAGTGCCACGAAGAATGTACTTGATATTCTTCCCATCAGGAACATCCGACACCTCGTCCGTCTTCTCCAAAACACTACGCATTGGCTGTTGCCAGTTTCGCATTGGCTCCGTTCACCCTTTTCCTTCGGCCTGCCTGTTTCTTCTTCTGTCCTCCCCTTTCGCCCCCTCCACTGAGGTTTGAAAACGCAGCGCCACAACAACTATCGCCGCCAGCTCAAATAATAATAATAATAATAAATAAATACATAAATATCAGGAAAAAACAGACGTGGGAAGAACAAAAAGTAGTAATAAATAAATAAATAAATAACTTTTCCGTTGAAGCCGCCCGCCCAACCAAAATATATATATATATATATATATATATATATATAGTTGTTGCGCAACAGCACCCAACCAAACCATCCTGAGGGAGGCATCTTCAATATATATATATATATATATATATTTTTTTTTATTTTTTATTTTTTTATCCGTCCACATACTGCGGCACAATTCCTCCACTTCACCTTTCGGTGGTTCCTTCGCTCAGCCTCGTGCCACACTCCCGGAGACCTCCTCCTTTACCGCGAATTCGCCTAACATCGCCCCAGAGGCACTGCATGACGGCCTCCTTGACGTGCGCCTTCAGAGTCTCCTCCTCCCAGTGCGCCGCTCCCAGCTCCGAGCTCACCTCCGCCAAAAGAGTCTTCAGGGAAAGCGTCGCAAATTCCTCTCGCTTTCGCGTGGCAAACGCTTTATTGACGGCCTTCTTGGCCGTTTTAAATGGGACGGACGGCTTCAAACTACCCATGTACGCTTTCACTGCTTCCTTCACCTGACCCCTCACATCTGCCAGGCTACTTCCCTTCAGGTTCAGCGCGGTCACTACCAAGATCTCAACTTTCTTCAAAGAAAGCGAGGTGATCTCCTCCACTCGTCGTGACTCAAGCACATTCTGCACTGCACTTCTAATCTCCGCAGGGCTCAGGTGGGGTGCCGGCTTATGCGCATTAAACATAATGAAGATTTCATTCCCAATACTACACCAGCCACCGGATGACGATACCGTCAGGGATTTCCCGGAGAACGAGCGACCGATAAATTGTGTAGGGTCAAAACGAAGATAAAAATCAACAGTCCCTCTACTATTGTTCCCGTTGTGATTGGGCCCGTACCGTAGCAAAAGGTTTTTCCACTTTGGAGACAAAACGGCAAATTCCGTCTTCATTTGCTCCGCTTTTTCTTCACTTCTCAACTTTTTATCAACAAACCTTAACGTTAATATGAGACTAATGTCGCCTTCAATAACAACTGGAAGCATCGCCAATCGCCTTTTCGCCCTTGTGTATTCATACTCACAATGCAAAGTGACCTGTGTCTCGCTTTCTACATGAACGACAAAGCCTTCGTTCAACTCCACTGTATCGCCTACTGAAACAAAGTCATTGTTAACAATTGTTGAAAGCTTCTCCATGAGGAATTTCTTGCCCAAAGGCACGTGACAGTTTAGCGCGCACAATATTCCAGTTTTCCCAACCGCCTTGTTTCCTCCAGAGGAAGCAAGGATCACGGAATTTCCTGTGGTCGCCAGTTTTTCCGAAACGTTTTCAAAGTCAATCATCATACAGAGCGTATGTCCCTTGACTTGCCACATGCAGTAATACCCCATAATTTCCACCTCACGTAGTTTTGACGTCGTCTCATCCTTCAGCTTGGGTTCTTCTGTGATATTGCAGAACACATTAAGCCCCAGGAAGGCATTTGTAGCACCAAGTGGCTTGCTGCCGCCAGTAGTGGCAATGAGAATGTTCTTCCCGGAGGAGGTTGTGCCCAAGTCCTGTGAAAGATCGCAGTATATGTACAGCTTCGACTGCTCCAAGGCAACAAGGATATTTTTCCCCCCTGGAAACGGTATGGCGTTTGCGAGGGTTGATGACTCCATGACCAAATCAAAAAGCCCCCCACGCCGCCCTTCGGTCTTTCCCAACGGGCTCCCCTCCCTTCCTCCCCCTACAATCGCCTTGCCGTTAGTGGGATATGCAACAACACCGGCAAAATCAAAAGGCAAAGAACACAAAAAGAGACAGAACAAGAAAAAAAAAATAATAATAAATAAAAGGGAAGGAACCACCACCACTGAAAAGACCTCAATTCTCGCACACAAACACTGAGGAAAAAAAAAAAAAAAGAAAAAATCATCAGAATTGAGTGGCGTAGTGGAAACACATAACCTTCCGGCCTCTCTGTGTAAAGGCATTTGTTGTGGGTCATGGAAGAAAAGACGGCTGTTGGAGAGGGTAAAGCTTTCGTACATGTCAACAGCCCCCAATAATAATAATAATAATAATAATAATAATTACGCCAAACGGGGCAGAAGCAACAAAAATAAAAAATGTTACATTGAGTTTCCGTTAAGAACCAGTGATCTCAACTCCTGAATGTTATCCGTTATGCACTCCGCTAGTTGTGCTCCCATTGACATCTCTTCATTCCCCTCAGACCCCCTCAGCGAGGCGTATATCAAATGAGCATCCGATGGACGCTTTGCAGATGATTTATGTGAGACATTTGCTGATGCACTGCAAATGAGCGCAAACCGTGAGGGTAAGAGAAAACTTGTTTCAAAATCCAGCACCTTCTTGCTTGGGCCTAACATGCCAACTGTAACATAAAGATCCACCGTACCTAAAATGGCGTTATCCGCAAAAGTACCTGTTCCAATCGCCTTTCCCTCCTTAAGAAGCAACTTTGCCATGGAATAGTAGGGGTATGGTTCATGAAAACAGGCATCAATCATTCCTGCTAGGCTCTGTACAGCTTTAAGGAATAAATATCTTTTTGCTCGCCGCTCCACCAGTGCAGATCCACCGCAAAAGGAGCGAATAAATTCCTCGACTTCATAAGAATACATCAGGGCGGCAGAAAGATCTCCTCTTCTGTTAGGAAAGACAACCAAAACTGTTGGAAATTCGGTAAAGGGAGTTAAAACCCGTTGCACCGCAAGAACAGCGGCCATGCAAAGATATGCAAAGGGGATGTTATCCCCCCTTGAAATGGAAAGTGGAAACACATGTGGAGGAGGTTTGACCACTGCATAAGGTCGCATCGGTTTACGGTGCTTCCATGGCAGCCACAAATCCAAATGTTCCACGCCTGGTGGGAGGTTGCCATCACTATTGAAAACGCTCCCGGCGCCGAGGGAATCACCTTCTTTGTTGCTGTTGTTTTTGTCGCTCATGCCGCCAGCGGCATCATCCCAGCAAAGGACCCGCATGAGGAATTCCAGAAGATCATCAGCGTGGATCAAAATTGAGTGTCCACGCACCGCCAGCACACCCTTCTCCTCCCTCTCTTCGAGCACAAGTGCACTTCGGTACCAACGGGCAGAAGCGGATTTATTGTCGAGAGTTCGGAGAATCACCGTGAATATACCTGTGTCAATGCCGGCAAGAGAAGCCGCATTGGCAGGTTCGGTGTTCTTCAAGCGTTCCCAGACTGCGGCGCATTCCACACCGTCAATCTCTGTCAGGGAGCCCAAAAGTTGATAGAACGCAAAGAGATCCTCCCGTGCATCGGGTAATAATTTGTGTTCACAAATCTCACGTTCATTTCGGTCTGCGTGTTGTTGAACGGCCCAAAGACGCTCTGCAATCATCACCGTATCCAGCACAAACCCATCTTCATCCAGTACTTCCACACGATAGTAAAAGAACCCACAACACACGGTGATGTGACGACTATTGTAGTTGACGGAGACTAATCCCTCTGCGGATTTTTTTTCATTTCTCAGGCCGTGGTACAGGAGTTGCTGAAACTGCCACTGGCCACTGTTGGAAGCATTCACAAATACCCGAAAAATCCGTTGAATGGTCTCAGCCGTCTGTATACATCGCTGGACCACCTCTCCTTCAGCGGCAACAGAAACTCCTGTCGAATAGCCTCGAGGCAAGGGTGACAGAAAGCGAAATTCAGTGAATGGATACGCCATCGCACTCCTGCATGTTGCTGCGACGGTGTCAATCCACTTTTGTCGAAACGCCGTCGCCCGCAATACATCCACAGCGTCCGTCAAAGGCGTTATAAGCTGAAAGTCTGGACTACGGCGAAGAAGTTTCTGCGAGGCATTGACCATTACCGCAATGTCCTCCAAGAGTGATTCAGGAGTTTCAGGCGACCTCGTCAAGGCAGGAAAATCCCCCTCTTGCAGAGCACCATGCGGTCGCAGGCAATTCAAATTAACCACTCGGCTCTGTGCGGGACGAGCGGCAAATTCTTTGCATCTGTGACGGAGGTTTGAATTGAGAGCGGCCGTCAGTACGGCACCAGCCTCCTCCGTCACCGCACCGCCTGACTGTAGTCCCCTCACGTACTTCTTTTTTGTCGACATGAATTGCTTCGTATTTGTAGCAGCAGAAGGCGCCGCGTTACCTTTGCACGCCACAAACAATTTAAAAAAGGAAAAAAAAAAAAACATGATCAAATAATAAATAAAAACCCTGCATGGCAGGCCGAGGCAAACCGTGCATGTGTAAACTTGCAAGACTCGCACACACACACACACTCTCTCTCTCTCTCTATTTCTCTCTCTCTTTTTTTTTTTTTTTTTTCAGTAGTTTGGAGTAAATGCGAAAACGATAAATAAGCGGAAAGAGAAGAAGAGCTAAACCTTAACTACGTAGAAGTGTTGTGGGTATCGGCGCAACACCATTCCTCACCCTCTCCCACGGGGGGTCAATTATCATGTTAAGTTCATCATAGCCCTTCTGTTTCTTGATGGTCAGCACGGCAGTCACCGACATCATGGGTATTAACTCCTCCTCCACTTCCTCCCCTGTCACGGGATGAGTCCCCCAGTGAATGCTCAGTTTGTTTGACGTTTTTTCCATATTTCCTGCCCTACCGTAATCATTTTTCTCTTTCTCCTTCTTCTCCGCTCCATCCGCAGTGCCGTCCACTTGTTTGTCTTGCTTGAAGAGCTGATCCTTATCCTTCAAGCTAATGTGCACCTCCTGTGCCACCTCCTTTGCGAAGAGGGTAAAACTCCTATTCTTCTCCACGACTCGCACCAGCACTGCCTGTACACGTGGTGTGAAGGGCGTCCCCGTGTTGCCGCTCTCATCCATAACTCGCTTAAGAGCCTTGAGATAATAACAAAAGAATATCCCAAGTGAAGCATCGCTCACTTGACGGGCTTTTATTTTCTTCAAATTGGCCTTTTCAACAATGCTCTCTACCTCACTGACGGGATAAAAGTATTTTCTCGTGGAGAGTTGGTTTGCATCAATGCTCCCGGGTGACACGGGGTGACGACGTTCCTTGGGACCGCCCTTACTTTCCTTCACGATGGACTCAATTTCTAGAGCGCAAAGCAGCTGGCGGTGGGCAATGATATCAGAGTAGCGGCGAATGGGGGATGTAAAATGTGTGTACCACGGCAACGCCAACGCATAGTGGCCCCTGTACGCCTCGGTCTCCTCACAGCCATTCACAAAATATACCGCCTGTTTTAGCGAATACTTCAGTACCACACACAACTCGTCGTAAAAGTCACTATTCTTGGTATTTTCAAGAAACCCCTGCAGAGACTTACTCGAGCCACCCCTCAGCTCCAGGCCAACAGAGCTCAATGCCTCCTTAAGAGTCAAGAGTTTTTTGCGATCCGGTGGTTCATGTCGTCGCAGCAACGCCTGATCCGGCATGTACTCCACAATCTTCTCCGCAACACGTGCGTTTGCCAGTAACATAAACTCTTCTACCAGCCAATTGGCCTCAATCTGTCGCGAGATGCCAAAGCCATAAGGGAATGTGGGATTAGCAATGTCCTCAAAAAGGTATCGGACCTTCATGTTGCCAATTGTCAGGCGGCCACGGTTCATGCTTGCGCTCCGCATCTTCGACGCAAGTTCAAACAATGTTCGAATTGAAACTTCAATACGAACGCAAAGGTGCCTCACATCCTTCTCGTCACCAAAATCCAGTGTATCAAAAACCGTCTTGTCACCATCAAGAATCCGTTGCGCGTCCTCGTACGTCAAACGGCAGCGGTTTCTTATAACGCTCTGACCAAACCACTCGGATTTGACATTGCCGTGATGGTCAAGATGAAATATACAGGAAAAGGCAAATTTATCGCTGCCGGGATTCAAACTGCAGTAGTCTTCACTCAACTTGCGCGGCAACATGGGGATCACCTGCTCCACCAGGTACACACTGGTGGATCGCTCACGCGCCTCCTCATCCAAAGGAGATCCCGCCGAGACAAAGTAAGAGACATCCGCAATGTGCACCCCAACACGATACCCACCAGGTGTGGAGGTGATGCTCAGTGCATCGTCCAAATCCCGCGCGGTGGCAGGATCTATGCTGCAGACAAACTCCTCCTCGCGAAGATCACGCCTTCCCATATGCAGCAATACCTGCTTGTCTGGTACCTCAAACTCCTCGGGCACACAGGCATACGCTTCATCTGAAAAATCATTCATGGAAATCTCAAAAGCGTTGCATAGCGCAAAGCTATTTGCTCGCACGGAATCAACCCCACCGAGAACGCGTACAATTTTACCCGTCAGGAACTTCCAGGCGGTCCAAAAAAATTCCCCGTCGCCACGTGTTACGAGACGCAGGAAAAAAAAAGTTTTTTTTAGTGTGGCATGCAAGGGCACCGGAATGTCTCGTCCAAAGACGGCGATATTGGGCATAAGAGGATCAAAGCATTTAAATTTATAGTAACGATCACTCTTCACAATGTCGTTAGGTGCCAATGCATCGTCGCACAGGCGTGCCACAACAAATAACGGGCTACGACGCTCAAGAACCGCCACCACCACACCAAAAGGCTTCTTGTTCCCCCAGTCATGCACCGTGGGCGCCAACATTCTTCTTGCCCACTGACGCTCTGGCGAAGAGTCATCCCGACGCGTGGTGTCTTGCACCCACCGCGTAATTAAGCGGCCATCGGGAAGTTTTTCGGGCATCACTTCTTTTGCCCCGACAGCGTCATCGTCGTCATCGTCCAGCTGCGCGTCACCCTCCACGTCGTTTGCAACGGCGGGCCAGTTCTCTTCGGAAAGCAGCTCCACTGCCACAATGTCCCCATGCAGCGCCTGTTTCCTGTTCTCCACACTACTCACCACCACGTCACAGGGAAACACGGGGCTCCCGACGAAGGCCAGACCTGCTGTAAAGCGTGAAAATATCCGCAGACGTCCAATAACAACTTTTCCGCCCCGCACCTTTTCTTCCAACTCGGTGTTGCTGCCAAGGCAGTACTGCTTGACGACATGCGTGGGCCCCGTTCGACCCGATGCGCCCACGTCGTTCCTCGCTGGCAGATTGGGCTCGTCCATTTCACTCAGTGGGGGCGATGTAAACACAAAGAAACAAAGCCTCCGTGACGGCCTACTAGTCCCTGACCCAAACTTCACCAACGAGCCTCCCTCTCTCCCGCAAGAGAAGCAAAAAAAAAAAAAAGCAACGTCAACAAAAACAGCGGAATAAACAAACCATAAATATATAATTTACCCACTTGTCGCTGCAAAATCCGTTTCAATGGAGTGAGCACTCAATCACGTCCATTACTCTCTCCCTCTTACAGATAAATTTAGAACAAAGGGGCGGGATCTTGAGGAAGGAAAAAAAAGCACCACTGAGAGAACAAAGCCTCTATACAACCGAAATGCCCCCTCCACCTCCTTCAGTTACGGTGTGCATGCGTCAGAAGCCAAAGGCAAGAAAATGGATAAGGAGAGTATGTTAGATGCTCACAGACAGACAGAGAGAAAAAAAAAAAAAGAGATCAAGAACGCCTCTCTTTCCCGCTTTCACGCCTCCATCCAGCGATCACCGTGGCAAAACACTATTCCCTCTTCCCAAAAATAAATAAATCTTCGTGGCCACAGAATACAGGAACCAAAAATCACTTCTCACAATTATCACCATCATCACCATCACTATCATCCGACAAAGAGGAAGATGAGTCCTGGAGAAAGCTGCTTAGACTCTTGCTCTTCGTATCACTAAACAACACCACTGCATTCCGCTTCGTCTCTTGCTTTGCCTCAACAATTCCGCTTGTCTGCGGCATTTCCTGCATTTGTTCACCTCTGAGTCCTTTTGTCACCAACGCGAGTAGGTGCTGCCTCGTATGGAGTGGTTTACCATCAAGAAAGCCGCCCACAAGATCCCTATCGTAGCTGCACACACGTAACTTCTTCCGGTGCTTCAAAATTGCTTCCACCACCCTTTCGCTCCGTGTCGTGCTACTGCTGCCGTATACGGCATGATGAATCGAAAAGGCTGCCACCGGACGCATGGTGGAGCGTTCGGCACAAAGAACAGCACGCGGTGGCGGTTCAAAATTTGTCTCGCCACCCCGAGAGGCGTTGTGACGGCCACCCAGGGTCGTGTCAAAGACGTATGTCATCAGAGAATGCACCAGCGCCTCTGTGGCGGAAACGTCAGGACTCACACTTACTTTAGAATTATCATCAGGAACCGCGCCTCCACTGTCGGCTTCTGTTGGGTCTTCGTCGTCCAAATGTCTCTCGGTGTGTGCGCGCGCCTCTGACCTGAACTTTTTGCGCGCCGTTTTGGAGGCCACATCGCCACCTCGTTTTTTCGATCCCAACATCCACCGCTCACTCGCCCGCACACCTTCCACCGAGGCGGTGGATGTTGCCAATAATTTCTGATTCACCTCATCCGCATCGCCCATGGAAACTCTATCGGCAGTCAAGCACGTCCTACAGACTTGGATTATTATCATTTATTTATTTTTGATAAAATAAAGAAGCAAAACATTAAAAAAAAACAAAAAAACAATAAAAGGAAAAAAAGAGGCAACACATCGGCCTCCAGTTCCCATTAAATTCAAGAGGCTTTCTTTTTTTCTTTTCTGTTTGCTGCAGAGAAAAATATCATCTCGGCCATGTATTTCAACAAATGAAAAAATCGCAAGTTTTTACTTCTCGCCTTCCGCCTGCGGCCCACTCCATGCCCCCTCCCTCCCGTGCAATGCTCGCAGGTTGTCTTACAAAAGGTCAGCCTCACGTTGCACACGCCGTCCCAGAGCCGTTATTGCATGAGAGAGTGTGTGCCAGTTCCCACCGGGCCCAGCGGAGAAAAAGGGGCCGGAAAGAGGGAGACGTATATTCATGCATGAATGAAGAAGCTGAAGTGTGTGCCGCAACGCCTCTGCCTCCGCCTCGGCCGCCTTTTTCTCGCTCGCCATAACTTCCGCACACGCGTTGCGTTCCTGGGCCAGTCGCTCAGACTCCACTCGCAGCTGGTCCACGAGTTGGCGCACGGACCGCTCGCGGATGGCACCTTCCAGGTGGATGCTTTGCATCTCCCGTTGCACCGCCGCCTTCAATCGACCTACGCGTTCGAGTTCGCAAAGAGTCAATTCGCGTCGTTGCTGCTCCCTCGTACCGTAGGGAGGCCGACTCCCCTCGCCTGAAACAAATAAAGACGCACAGCTCAGGCACTGCGTACAAACCACCCAATCCCAGTCAAACTCCGCCCTCCTTGCCTCCTCGATGGCGCAAAAAGCCTCTCGCGTGACGTGTTCTTCTCTTTCCAGAGTCTCCCGCGCCATTTGCCTCACATCTTCGCTCTTCAGACGGATACCCCTCTCAAACCCATCATCGTCACCGCTGTCTCCTACCTCGTCCTCTTCCACTCCTAGCGCCCATGATTGCTCGAAAGTCGCAAGCTCGTCCCTTTCTACACAAAGGGCAGCACACAAGCGGCTGAGACGCTGGCATTGCTCGTTCACACGGCACAGTTCTGAGTCCTCGTATGGGCGGCTCGACACCTCCACATCGCTTGTGTGCGCCCTCATCAAACTCGTTTCCCTTGTCGAAGTCGATCGAGACGTCCCAAACACGGAACGAAGAGATGTATCCCTCCTTTTCCGGGAAATGATGCCCAAAAGCCTCTCTTTCTGCTCTCGAGCAGCGCTTATTTCCCTGTCTAGAGCTTCCCTGTGCATTAATGTGCGTTTATTTTCTTCCTCCCGAATTCTCGCAAGGTGGGCACAGTAGCTTTCTACGCGTCCTCTTTCCATCTTCAGCTCCCACTCCAACTGTCGGCGAAGATGCGCAACTCGTCGGCCTTCCATCTCATTACGCATTTCCACCTGCTGGCGCATGTCCTCTTCCAACTGTTCCCTCGAGTGCCGCGCCGCGCTATACTCGCTCTCCAAACGCCTTTGCTCCCTGGCCAAGCCACGCACCTTTTCACGTAAACGAAGTATCGTGCCTTCCAACGCCTCGTTCCTGGATTTCTGCTGCTGAAAGGTCGTATGAGTTGACTCGAATTCGTCACGCACTGCCTGCAAATCTGCCTTCAGCATTTCCCTCTCCTTCTCCTTCACAACGGGCCCTTGAAGCTGCGCGTCAGGGAAACCTTTCGCCGCACGGATGAATCCAATGGAAGCCAACCGCAACTGCAACTCATTCGTGTCACGCACGGGGAAAACGACAACACGATGGGGCGAACGCCGCGCGTCAAGCAGTCCGTCAGCGGAAAAAAATAACTGAACATGCGACGTCTGCAGCCACCACATATTCACCACACAAGCTGCTTGTTCTCGTTGAGGGCACAGCCGCAGCAGCAAGGAGGAAACCGGGAAAATGTGACAAAAGGACGGGCTGTTTGTCAACAATTCTATGATTCTGTCGTACTCCGAGACGCTGTGAATGCACACGCCACCATCGCCCACTGCCTCAGTGAATAATTTCGTTGTGATGTCAACGCTCCTCTGCCGTGCGTCATGGGAGGTCGGAAAGACCACCAACGATACCGCAACGGCAGCCCCTCCGGAGAGAAACGCACACACAACGTGACGAGACAGGCTGTTCAAAAAAAATTTATCCAACATCACGTCATCTACTCCGATTGCCACGACGTCCACAACCGATGCCTTCGTCCCCTCACCATCCTCATCGTTATTATTGGATCCACAGCCATCTACGACCGCACGAACATGTCGAGTGACAAAGTCAGCAGTAGATTCAGCGGTACACACAGCCGTGGGCGTGGGAATTCGCTCCTTTCGAAAAAATGAAGTAATCGAGTCAACCTCAGACGCCCTGCACGACACAATAA